GGTGGTGATGCTGCTGGTGGGTGGTGGTGGTGGTGGTGGTGGTGGTAGTGTGGTGCTGGTGGTGGTGGTGGTGGTGGTGGTGGTTGTGGTGGTGCTGGCGGTGGTGGGTGGTGGGCTGGTGGAGGTGGTGCTGGTGCTGGTGGTGTGGTGGTGGTGGTGGTGCTGCGGTGTGCTGGCTGGTGCTGGTGATGGTGGTGGTGGAGTGGTGGTGGTGGTGGTGGTGGTGGTGGTGGTGGTGGTGGTGGTGGTGGTGGTGGTGGTGCTAGTGGTGGTGCTGGTGGTGGTGCTTTTGCCTTGGTCGCTGATTTGTGCCATAAATTTTGGAGTGTGGTATCTGCAGGTGGTATCTGAGGCCTGCGTCAGGAGTGGCCATCTCGCCATACCTCACCAACCAGTGCAAGGTATCATTACCCACAGTGGAAAAACACACACCCACCACCACCACCCCCCCCCCCTTCAACCCCCCCCAAACACACCCCACCCCCACCCCCCCTTCACCCCCCCCCCCCCACACGTCAGCACACAGCCCCTCCTCCAATAATGACAGTACTTATAGCAACTATTTGCTCAAAGGTACGAAAATGGACATTTGGAGCCCCAAACGTTCACGTTCCGTATTATTGAATTAGCTCAAATGGCATCTTCTTGAGGTTATCTTGAGATGATTTCGGGGCGTAGTGTCCCCGCGGCCCGGTCCTCGACCAGGCCTCCACCCCCATACCATACCAGGAGGAGGCATACCAGAAAAAATGGAAAAGCAACTAGCGAACCTAACTGAACCTTCCTAAACAATCCTAGACCAAATGATATGTTATCTTAGGCCGAATATAGTACAATATTAGGCATAGATATGTTTCAGTTTAGATTTTTGGATTTTAAATTTCGCGCTCTCTACAAAATTACAACCAGCGCATAGAGTGAACATTACTGGCTGCTAAAGTCCATTGCTGTCCGCTCCACCAAATATTTACACTGAGTATTATTATTTAGGACGGACTGAGACACAGCAGGGGTGGGGGGGTGGGGTGGGGGTGGACAGATGGTGGTGCTGGGGTAGACAGGTGGTGGTGCTGGGGTAGACAGGTGGTGGTGCTGGGGTAGACAAGTGGTGTTGCTGGGGTAGACAGATGGTGGTGTTGGGGTAGACAGGTGGTGGTGCTGGGGTAGACAGATGGTGGTGCTGGGGTAGACAGATGGTGGTGCTGGGGTAGACAGGTGGTGGTGTTGGGGTAGACAGATGGTGGTGCTGGGGTAGACAGGTGGTGGTGTTGGGGTAGACAGGTGGTGGTGTTGGGGTAGACAGGTGGTGGTGTTGGGGTAGACAGATGGTGGTGCTGGGGTAGACAGATGGTGGTGCTGGGGTAGACAGGTGGTGGTGCTGGGGTAGACAGATGGTGGTGCTGGGGTAGACAGATGGTGGTGCTGGGGTAGGCAGGTGCTGTGAAAAGAAAGCTTGCAATGAATAGCAACCAGTATCATCACTATTTAAGGACATACAAAAACTACTGGGATATGATCACAATATGCAAAATACTGAGAGAAATTGACAAGGTGGATAAAGGCAGCCTCTTAAAATTGAGAGAAAGTAGGACAAAACGAGATTAGTGGAAGCTACAAACTCAAGATACATTGTAGAACTGTAAGGAAATATTCATATCTTGTGGAGGAGGTCAAAGTGGAATACACTTAAAGGAAGATGTCTTAGAAGCCACCTCCAGCCACACCCTTAAAAAACATATTAAAAAAAAAAATATTTGAACGTCAGAAAAGTAACATTATAATTTATGAGACGCAACAAGACTAGTTCCACCACCACCACTACTATCACCACTACCACCACCACCACCACCACTATATCAACAACAATCAATACACACAGAAATCACAATAGCGTGATGAATCAAATGAACAAATCCACAAGGGCCGTGACTAGGGTTCGAATCCTCGTCACGGCCCTTGTGGATTTGTTCAACAACAATCAACACCACTACCACCATCACCACCACCACCACCACCACCACCACCACCACCACCACCACCACCACAACCACACCACCACCAACCACCACCACCACCACCACCACACCACACCACCACCACACCACCACCAAACAACCACACCACCACCACCACCACCACAACCACCACCACCACCACCACCACCACCACCACCACAACCACCACCACCACACCACCACCACCACCACCACCACCACCACACCACCACCACCACCACCACAACCACCACCACCACCACCACCACACCACCACCACCACCACCACCACCACCACCACCCAACACCCACCACCACCACCACCACCACCAACCACCACCACCACCACCACCACCAACACCACCACCACACCACAACCACCACCACCACCACCACAACCACCACCACCACCACCACCACCACACCACCACCACCACCACAACCACCACCACCCCCACCACCACCACCACCACCACCACAACCACCACCACACACCACCACCACCACCACAACCACCACAACCACCACCACCACCACCACCACCACCAACAACCACCCACCACCACCACCAAAACCACCACCACCACCAACTCCACCACCACCACCACCACCACCACAACCACCACCCCACCACCACCACCTCCCCACCACCACCACCACCACAACCACCACCACCCCCCACCACAAACCACCACCACAACCACCACCACCACCACCACCAAACCACCACCACCACCACCACCACAAAACCACCACCACCACCACCTCCACCACCACCACACCACCACAACCACCACCCACCACCACCACCACCACCACCACCCACCACAACCACCACCACAACCACCACCACAACCACCACCACCACCACCACCACCACAACCACCACCACCACCACCACCACCACCACCACCCCCACCACCACCACCACCACCACCACCACCACCACCACCACCACCACCACCACCACCACCACCACCACCACCACAACCACCACCACCACCACCACCAAAACCACCACCACCACCAACAACCACCACCACCACCACCACCACCACCACCACCACACAACACAACCACCACCACCACCACAACCACCACAACTCCTGCAGCTTTACTCACAGACGGTTTAAACTTATAAGCTCAGGCACATAAGCACATTAAATAAATTTATCATATAAATTGCGACAGGAATTGCAGGCGTGCATACAATTTTGCATTCCAGTAATGTCTAATTAGAGAGGTCGTTTAAGGGGTGGAGTTATGAAGTGGTGTAATTAGGGGAGTTGGAGAACGGCAGGTCACGTGACTGGCCTGTGACCGGGCCGTGGCGACAATGTAACCCGGAGTTGTTTACCTTCATGTGCTTGGTAATGGCGGCATGTATACGGTAATTAGTAATTATCCTGATTTGTGGCGTTGGTGATTATGGATTAGGGGGGGGGGGTTGTGGGCGGGGTGAGGGTGGGGGTGGAGGTGTGTGGGCGGGGTGAGGGTGGGGGTGGAGGTGTGTGGGCGGGGTGAGGGTGGGGGTGGAGGTGTGTGGGCGGGGTGTATGGCCAGGGGGTGTGTGGGCGTGTGATAGAATACCAGATTAAGAAGGAGGTTAGGGACATGAGTTGTATTAATACTGTAAGTGTGTATATGTGACAGTCGCTACAGGTATTGACAGGTGTGTGGGCCTCATTTTGGTTGTTACAGATGTGATGGCATGAGCTGTAAACTTTGTCAATACCCATTAGAAATTTATACGTCGCAATCATATCTCCTCTTCCCCCATGTGGTGTATAATAGTCAGATGTAGTTTCCTTGAGTCTTTCCTCGTACTTCAACTCTCTCAGTTCCGGGATCAGTCTTGAATCTCAACTTTCTCGAACTTTGTCTTGTGTTTCTTTAGATATGGATTACGTATAGGAACCCACACACACCAATAGTGCTTGTGTGGGCGTGGAGCCTCTCTGGGATGTGTGGGCGTGTGGGCGTGGGAGTTAACAAGGGGTGATATAGAGTCATATATGACTGTGTGCGTGTGCTGACAGGAGCAGATATAGGTGGCAGCACAGGTAGTGTTTTGCACGGTCGCATGGCTGGATGTGGGCGGCAGCTGTTGCGGATGTTGGCTGAAGAAAGGGCGGGTGTGGGCGGCAGCAGGTGTGGGTGTGGGCGGCAGGTGTGGGTGTGGGCGGCAGAGCAAGCCGTAACGTTGCGCTGTGGTCGGATGGGCAAGAATAACCTTATAATTACTGCTCATACATCTGGGGATGAGTGGGCGTCCCTGGTGTGTTATCTGATGGGCGTGACGAGTGGGCCCACTACCCACCTTGACAGTGGGCGTGTGGGCCCACTACCCACCTTGACAGTGGGCGTGTGGGCCCACTACCCACCTTGACAGTGGGCGTGTGGACCCACTACCCACCCTGACAGTGGGCGTGTGGGCCCACTACCTACCCTGACAGTGGGCGTGTGGGCCCACTACCTACCCTGACAGTGGGCGTGTGGACCCACTACCCACCCTGACAGTGGGCGTGTGGGCCCACTACCCACCTTGACAGTGGGCGTGTGGACCCACTACCCACCTTGACAGTGGGCGTGTGGACCCACTACCCACCCTGACAGTGGGCGTGTGGACCCACTACCCACCCTGACAGTGGGCGTGTGGACCCACTACCCACCCTGACAGTGGGCGTGTGGACCCACTACCCACCTTGACAGTGGGCGTGTGGACCCACTACCCACCCTGACAGTGGGCGTGTGGGCCCACTACCCACCTTGACAGTGGGCGTGTGGGCCCACTACCTACCCTGACAGTGGGCGTGTGGGTCCACTACCCACCTTGACAGTGGGCGTGTGGGCCCACTACCCACCTTGACAGTGGGCGTGTGGGCCCACTACCCACCCTGACAGTGGGCGTGCCACGCCCACGCCCCATAATTACTAACCAAATAACTAAAATGTCCCCCCATAGCCTCATCGCAGCTCACTAACATCGCCTTTATCTCTCCACAGATCAAAATCTGGTTTCAAAATCGCCGGAGTAAATATAAGAAGCTGATGAAAGCTGCCCAGAGTGGAAGCGGGCCCAGCACGCCCATGGGGGCCCCAATCACCCCAGGGTCGCCCCTGGCTGGCTCCCCACTGGAGGGCTCTTCTCCCCTAGGGCAGCCCTTACCATCATCAACCCCTCAGAGCATCTCCCCGCCGCCCCCTACCGCCCAGAGCCCTTCTTCTCACCCCTACACCAGCATGAGCACCTCTAGCACCCCTCACGGGCCCTCATCTCAGGGGCCCTCACCCTCAGGGCCCTCACAGTCCCAGCAGCAACAGCCGTCACAGCAGCAGCCTAGCCACACTCCCGCGTCACAGGGAGCGGCGGCGTCATCCGTCGGAGAGCATTTGCCGCCTGCAAATCCCTCTTCACTGCCGCCCACAGCCTCCTCCCCCGGCCTGGCCGCCCACCACTGGGGGGACATGAAGCCGCCCGTGTCTGTGCCCTACATGTATTCCTGGTACGCGGCCGAGAACCAGCACAACCTTCTCACTTAAGGCTCTCCTCCACTACACCACCCGTCCGCTGCTTGCTGTTGCTTGCTGCGCTCCCACTGTCTCAGCCTCAGCCCTGAGAGAGCCAGTGCTCTACCAGCCTCAGCCCTGAGAAAAGCAGTGTTCTCCTAGCCTCAGCCCTGAGAACACCAGTGCTCTCCTAGCCTCAGCCCTGAGAAAAGCAGTTCTCGCTCAGCCTCAACCCTGAGAGAGCCAGTGGTCTACCAGCCTCAGCTCTGAGAGAGCCAGTGGTCTCCTAGCCTCAGCCTTGAGAAAGGCAGTTCTCGCTCAGCCTCAGCCCTGAGAGAGCCAGTGCTCTACCAGCCTCAGCCCTGAGAAAGGCAGTTCTCGCTCAGCCTCAGCCCTGAGAGAGCCAGTGCTCTACCAGCCTCAGCCCTGAGAAAAGCAGTTCTCGCTCAGCGTCAGCCCTGAGAGAGCCAGTGCTATCCTAGCCTCAGCCCTGAGTAAAGCAGTTCTCGCTCAGCCTCAGCCCTGAGAGAGCCAGTGGTCTACCAGCCTCAGCCCTGAGAGAGCCAATGGTCTACCAGCATCAGCCCTGAGAAAGCCAAGGTTCTCAGCATCAGCCCTGAGAACACCAGTGCTCTACCAGCCTCAGCCCTGAGAGAGTCAGTACTCTCAGCACCTAGGAAATCACTGTTCTCCCAGCCACGGCTGCGCCCTGCGACAGGTTACACGGAGTGACGCGAGTCTGAGACAGCGAGGCTATTGAATTAATTACAAGGTAACAGCAGAGTGGGACCGCAAGCGTGAGGTATTTCTTAGATAAACGTGAAAAACAGCGAGAGGTTAGCGTGTGTGGGGCTCGCCGAAGGTCACGCCTGTAAAGTCTCTCAAGTCACCATTACCAAAGATTCCGTTCTGTCGTACTTAAGTGTGTGTGTGTGTGAGAGAAGTGTGAATACACACAATCACGCGCTGAACCGAGACGGTTTATCCTCCGCTATTCCCTATTTCCCTCTTCCCCCTTTCCTTCAAGAAGGAACTTGAGAAAATGGACGAGGCGTCTAGCAGAACTCGAGTGAAGATGCTTGTGAATCAGATAGCAGTGACAGACAATCTGTTGATTCGACGGGAGCTGTGCGCACGATTGGGTTGGATTGTGGGGTGGCGGACCGAGAAAATGGCGTGATACATTGACAATCATTTGCTAACACTCCCTCCTAAAGGGCATATACGGTCAAGATCGGCTGAGGTAGCTACATGTGTTCTGGTGTACATTGGATTAGTAAAGTGTTGATATGCGCATCAGTACGTGGTGATTCGTACAAAACATGATTTTTTTTAATTTAGTGTAGAGAATGTCGTGTTTAACATGAGCATTGACAGGTTACAAGAGGTGTCGCGAGTGGTGTGTACTATGTGGGGAGTCGGAGAGTACCCAGCTTTAAGGATCCAGATTCATGAAGCAGTTAGGCGAGTGCTTACGAACGTGTACATCTTTTCTCGATCTTTGACGGCTTTGGTTACATTTATTAAACAGTTTACAAGCGTGAAAACTTGCCAATCAACTTTTGTTATTGTTATAAACAGCTCCTGGTGCTTCGGAGCTCATTAACTGTTTAATAATTGTAAACAAAAGTCGCCAAAAGATTGAGAAAAGATGTACAGGTTCGTAAGTGCTTGCATAACTGCTTCGTGAATCTGGCCCAAGGTCTCTGTGGTGACTCGTCCCAGCAGGCTCGAGTATAGATGCGTCTCTTGGAGTGGACAGGAATGTATGATTGTCGATGCACCGTCCCAGAGATGTCTCTCTCTTCTCCCCTCTCTACCAGTGGTCGTCTCACTCACTGGTCTGGTCGTGTGACCCCTACACGACCAAGCAAGCCACTGCCCTTCTCTCCCGTATCTACCAGTGGCAGTCCCGCTCTCTGGTCGGGTCGTGTGACCCCTACACGACCAAACAAGCCCCATAAACAAGTTAAGTCAGAGCTAACGGGATCCTTTATTAGCAGAAAATACAAACCAAATAAAACAAATGTCTAGAATCTTGTTTTTTCCTTCTAATGTTGAATTCATCAAATTATAATGTTTAAAATAAGTGTCTTTTCCAATAGCTTCAGCCAAACTCCAGCTCATTCCTGGAGTTACTCAACATTAAATGCGCTTCCAAGATGATTTTGTGATATAAATATTTATTGATTGCAGTTCCCCTTAGCTCTTGTTAACTGTTAATTATTGGTATTTTGGGGGTACCCCCGCACCCTCTTTCCCTCCCCCTTTTCACAGTCTCTTCCCCTTACCCATTCTACCTATTACCTTCTTTCTCTCTTTGCTTGTTGCTTCATAGGACCAATGTTCATAGCGTTTGGTATGGGTTGGTATAATGTACAGCATCATTGACGTATAATGCTGGAAAACTGAGCCAATAATAAATAAGAAATGACGAGAATAAATAATATTAATAAATCCTAAGAAATAAATACCAAATGCACCTTTTGGGCTATGTTATGTGTATGAATGAGGATGTCTTTAGATACATATTTTTGATGGGCATCTTAGGCGTTTCCGACAACGATCTGGGGGTATATAAACTTGTGTTATATTCTCTCAGAAGGGCTAAGAGACACATATACACACACACATATCATGAGAGACCTCCTCTCGCAGGTAGGACAAGTGTGGTGGCTACCATACATTAGGATACTGGAACATATTAATTCATGTGACGCTAGGGACCATAGAAGTATTTGATCACTATACCTGAAGCTGTTTTCAATATTATCTTCAGCGTCGCTTGACCTGATATGTAATTTTTCTCCTAATGTGGCTTCAATTAAACTATTTGCATTTTTTTTTTAGATATGTGTAAAACTATGTGTATATTATGTGTAAGTGTTGTGCGTTCATCATGAGAAAATCTTAAGGCAGTCTTTAAGCTTGGTCTAAAAACTGATTTTATTTTCATAAAGGTGTTTACAATGAGAAGATTAAAGATAATTGTCCAAACTGGTGATGAGGCTTCACCGATACTTCTTGCTCTGATTTACACTATTTTTTTACTCTACAAATAATTGTATTTATTATAACTATGTTTTGTTATTTTTTTTTTACCATTGCTGCACAATCTTTTGTTGGAAGGCGGAAATTATAAATATATACATATATATATATATTTTTTTTTCGACATGCAGCCAAAAACTTGTACATTAACACTACCAAACGCTGAGAAATGCTGTAGAGTTAGTGAACAGTGTTCACCATGTTCATATGGTGATGCTGTTGTACAGTCTGTGTTGTTCATCACGATGCTGAGCTGTACAGCCTGTGCTGTTCACTATGGCGCAGGTGGTAATGCTGTTATGCTGTATGAAAGGATATTGTTTTTCCTCATCTTAACATTGGTTTTTACCTGTATGTGAACCCGTGATGAGTAGCGATGCCCGAGTCCCAAAGGTTTGGCCATGCACAGCGATTCCATCCAAATTGGCTCAATCTTCAAGCAAATGTTATATGAAAATCGTATCTCAATTTCGGTTTGCCGTATAGATAAAAATATCTAAATAAGCTTTTAAAGTAGACTAAACTTGTGCAGTTTATGATATAATAGTTAAGACGGCGTCAGACTTATAATTTCATGACTTATTGAACATATTGACTAATAAAGATATTAGGCTGCTTGGAGACCAAAAATGTCCACTTTTAAGTCGGGAGCATTTTTTCAAATATTTTTTTTAAATTATGTTTATTTTATGTCAAATACTCAAAAGGCATTTATTGCTATAACAATAAAACCAATTATTATTCTTGTTATAAATATTATAAACTTTACAGGTAATGATAATAATAATAATTCTTATCGCTATTGTTTTTTAATTACCTGTAATTATTGTTATTATCATACATAATTATGAATGATATTGCGTTATTGTCATTATTATTTCTCAACATTCCTTCTCAGGACAAAAGTGCTCATCATGGAACCATTGAGTTATAAATGTAGTACCAACCTCTCGATCTACTGTACATATAAACATTTGCTGTAAGTAAATGTTTCTGTCTGTTTAAGCCATTCGGTGTCTCCTTAGTGAGAAGTGATGTAACGTTGAAAGAATTAAAATTGAAAGTAAAACCATTATTTGATTTTTTTTTCAATATCCCCCACACAAGAATTTTACTTGTTTCATTGGAATTGGAATTTCATTTTGGAATTTTACATTCCAAAAGGGATTTACACTGGCAAAAAAGGGTGAAAACAAACTTGTCAAGGTATAAAAAAATACACAATAGTACATTGAGAAAGCACATCAATGTAATATATATGTAGCTTTGGGTAGGCTTCGGACCTATGAACAAAGTGTTCCAAGTAACTCTAGCGCGCTCTAGTCAAACTCTCTACAGTAACTCTAGTTAACTCTACCACAAACTCTACAGTAACTCTAGTTAACTCTACCACAAACTCTACAGTAACTCTAGTTAACTCTACCACAAACTCTACAGTAACTCTAGTTAACTCTACCACAAACTCTACAGTAACTCTAGTTAACTCTACCACAAACTCTACAGTAACTCTAGTCAACTATAGTCAACTTGTTGAACACACCAATATTTCAGCATCTCGCCCAATGCAACACTGCTTGAGCTTAAGAAAATCTTCATTGTCAATGTCTGGTGTTACCCTTGAGTGAGAGGTCGGCAGGACCTCTCCTGTTGCTAGTGTTGAGGAGTGGCATAATGCAATCACCCCGTGCGCCCACACACACACACACACACACACACACACACACACAGTGAGAAGGTGGTGGAGGCCAAGACCGTCAGTAGTTTCAAAGCGTTATATGACAAAGAGTGCTGGGAAGACGGGACACCACGAGCGTAGCTCTCATCCTGTAACTACACTTAGGTAATTACACACACACGCCCACACACACACACACCCACACACACATCCTCACCTCAGCAATCTGCAACGGCTTCTCTTTGAGTGATGTCTCCTGTCTTGAGTGATGATGGGGAGGTTTCGTTATTTGTATAATAATGATTCCTGCTTTTGAAGATATGTAAATTGGGCAGAATGTCTGGATTCGAGTAATACTCACTCACACACACATACATACATACATACATATATATATACATACACTAGGTGGAAATTAAGTAATTGAGCCAAGACTGAAGGCAAAGAACGTGACATCACAGTGTTGAGTGGGACATCATAACATAAGGACAAAGTGTGGAGTGAAGTCACCACTGCCGTCACCACTACAGTACAGTGAAGCCCAACCGCACCAGGTACAAGCCTAGTAGGCAGGACACAGGTATGCACTGTTAGGTAAGTACTACATTTCCCATTAAACACACAGATAAAGCCACTGTATCACGTCACTGAGAATAAATGTAAGGAAAAAGAGTATGTAGGGGCGTGAGGGATGAGGGTAGAGAATGCTGTGTTCCCCTGTCAGCAGCTTGTCCTTGCTAGTTAGTGCCTTGCCCCCTGTTAGTACCTAGCCCCCTGCTGGTACCTAGCCCCCCTACTAGTACCTAGCCCCCTACTAGCACCTAGCCCCCCTGCTAGCACCTAGCCCCCTGCTAGGCCTTGCTCAAGGGGTCGGGGAAGCGACTAATAACCACTCTGAAATCCTTGACATAGAGGTTTTCAGGCGTTTTTTTACATTCACGTTTAACATTATATTTGTCAAACCTAAAAATTAAATTCCTACAAACTGATCTTCAATGTCTGTGATTACTGCGATAGCGTCACTGTGTTTCTGTATATACTTAAAACTATCCACTTTGGGTGCTCCCTTCCCCTTAATTTAATCACTAGTGATTTGTAATCTTCCGTAAGTCCTGCCACTTATAAATGTAATCCTGCGTTAGTCCTGCCACTTATAAAGCAAAAAAATAAGGTGGGATCGAGTGTCAATTCCTGAGGGAGCCAGTATATAACAATCATTTTGTGGACCAATCATTAGGTTAGAACTACTTGTTACCTGTTGTTAAGTCCTGGGGCCAGATTCATGAAAGCACTTACGAACCTGTACATCTTTTCTCAATCTTTGGCGGCTTTGTTTACAATTATTAAACAGTTAATGAGCTCCGAAGCACCAGGAGGCTGTTTATAACAATAACAACAGTTGAATAGGAAGTGTTCATGCTTGTAAACTGTTTAATAAATGTAACCAAAGCCGTCAAAGATTGAGGAAAGATGTACACGTTCGTAAGTGCTTGCGTAAGTGCTTTCGTGAATCTGGCCCCTGGTTGTTACTCCTCAGTATCATGAGGCTTCGGATTATATAGATTCGTTTTCTGCGGCATTTTCTCAAATGACTTTGTATATATAAATTCCATTAGATGTGTTGTTGATGCGACTTTGTTTTTGAATCTATGTTAGTTGTAGGCTACTCTCTTGCGCTTTTTATAAATTCACTGAGACTGGTCGGTTAAGCAACGGGGCTCTCTCCCTGAAGGGTCAGTGTTTGATCCCCGTTAGTGCAAGTGATTGGGCACTGTTCCTCCACACACATTATCCTTATATCCCAGTACCTTGTCCTCGTATCCCTTCTAAGTACTATATACAC